ATTACAAGACGTTGTCAGTAATTCTGATTTACTCTCTTTCCCCCATCGCTGTCCCTGTTTTTAGTTCTATAGAAATCAGCTGTAACTCATCTGACTGGAATGAATGGAAACCAATTGAAAGTGAAAAACACTAGCGTCAGCCCTGCAACTCCAGGGTCAATCTTGGTTTCCTAGTGATCAGCACTGGATATTCTGTGGCCTGTATGCCTTGCACAACGTATATAGAGTAATTAAGGGTTAAAAAATATAGCAAACTTACATAATATTACAACATAGTTTTCTAAGCATTTTGCATAATACAGTGGAGGCTAACTAATAATGCGGAGGTTGGGATCCATAAAATCATTGTGTTTGCATGCACCTGGTCAGTTTGATTTCCCTGCCAAATAATAGCACAACTTCCGGGTCGCTTCCGACATCATTTTCTGGGTCCCGCGTGTGACCACAATGTACAGGAAGTGACGGCAGCATCTAGGTTGCTGATTTTTTTTTGTGCAGGAACCAGTCAGCGTGAGAGAGCCAAATAAGCTGCTGTGTGCACAAGGAAAGAATGGGGTCCACATACTATTTGTGTGATAAACAAATCAGCGCTGTAACAAAGTTATAATAGGGGGCATTGTACATAGAGGGTTATGTTGAATTTTGCTCCTCCTTCACTTTAATCATAAGGATGCAATTCACAGCACTTTAATGATTAAAATTCTGAAATCCAGTTCCCCAATTGCCTACAAGATGAAGTGCCAAGCAGAGCAGGACACTGGCCGAGTTTTCCCTCCTTGATCCCGGGAACGGGGGTGGGTGGGTAGGCATGTGGTGGAGAGTGTTTAGGCAGCTGACACCAACAGTAGCGCCTGAATTATAGACATGTCTGCTATCAGCAAACTTAGCAGAGACAGAGATTCAAACTTGTGAGCCACGTGGAACAGAGGGTCAGAAGTCTGAAGCCTGGGCTGTGCTAAATTAGCTGATATGAGTCATGGTTATAGTTTAGGCACAACTGCTGGACTCCACCCTCTCTGGATTGAGGGGAGAGGGAGGGAGGGAGAGTGGGGCTGGAGGGGAGAGAGAGTGGGGTGGGGGGGTAAAGAAGAGGAGAATGAAATCACATCCTGACTGCTATCAGGAGACCCCTGCTGGAAACTGCATATTTCGATGTCGGATGGGGACAGAACAGAAAATGCATTTGATGAACCTGTTAAAGCTTGAGGTCAACACTCACACGTGAGTAATAAGCACTCAGCAGGAGGTAAGAAAGAGTGACCATGTGTAGAACTTCTCCTCAGCAGAAGGAAAAAGGAGCCAAAATGACTTGAGTACAGAAAGAGCAAATAATGAAGGAAAAAAGCTGGCAGAATAATACATTGAAAACACTGACTAATTTTTAATCAACCTGAAAACTTTTAATTGCCTTCCCAAAAACTAGTGAACGCGTAAAACCGCAGATTGCAAAACACATCAGTGAAGCATACACTTAATATATTTTGACAATTTACTGCAAGAGAACAAAATTCCTTGAAACCTCGTCACGGTTTATAAACTGATGATAATAATCCTTGCATTTGATACAGGCCTTACCACGTTGTTGGGATATTTCAAAGCGCTTCACAGAATATAGTGTAAAATGAATTTACTGTATATTTTGTGGATGATAATGATGTTTCCACAAATTTATTTTCAGGTAACAATGCATAAATTAAATTGACAGAAAATACTGTACCATGAAAGCTCTTCTTGCATACTAAAAGCCTCAATATAAACTCCAAAATTTAGACCTTTTGCTTTTCTGCATTAATTGGATTAACTAAATATAATCAGAGCATTCACCAACTGACTGGTACAAGTATCTGTAATGTTACAGATACACTATGGACCAATTCCAGTAAAAGGTAGCAGTCAACATGAACCCTGCACTACCGACAACTGTTAATTTATAGCTCCATTTCACAGAATCGCCTGACTGATATTATAAAAACATTGCTATTGGATGGTACTGAATTAAAAAGAAATTCTGGAAATAACTGGACTTAACATTTCCACTCATTTCATTCAAGCTCCACTGTCAAACAGCCAGAATACCAGCCGCAAATCTCGGCTGTTTATGTGGTCTTTTATTCAGAGACTCAACTTGTAATTCTAGTAAGAACATGGGGCCATAGTAGCTCTTAACCATAAGAGAGTGATTTAACTGTTACTTTTACACTGTCAAACATCAGAACGTGAAAGAATACCTGCAAAATGTTGCTTTTAAAAATCTCAAACTTTGTGACCATTGAGCCAAAAACACCAACGAATGCATGAATCCTCATATCCAGCTTCAACAAAAAATTAAATTGCTTCTGAAACTGGAACAAATGACCGTAATAGAACATTCAGTTCTCCCGGTTAATCCAATATCTCTGCATTGTGCTTTATCCAGTGCATGAAGTTCAACTGTAATGCTTTCAGTTATTTCTTGCATAATTTTAATAGGTTAATTTAGTTTTGTTCCACATATAGATCAGTCTTCTCCTAGCATTTCATCAACAAATGGGAGGAGACCACTCCACACGAACACGCGATGACGCGAGGAGGACACAAAGATCCAGAGGACAATAATAATAATAATAATCCTTGCATTTGATATAGCGCTTTTCACGTCGGGAGGACGTCCCAAAGCGCTTCACAGAACACACTGTAAAGTGAATTGACTGTATATTTGTGGGCGAACGCGGCAGCTAATTGCGCACAGCAATGTCCCACAAACAGTCGTAGATTGAAAATGACCAATTTAATTATTGTTTTTTTTTTTTTTGGAGGGATTATTATTAGGCGTGTGGAGTAAGGAAACTTGCCCAAGGTTTCGCCCTGTCTGGAATTGAACTCAGGTCTCTCACTTGCAAAGCGAGTGCTCTAACCACTGAGCTACAGGACTCCACAATGCGCTTGTGAGAAAAACAGCTGGGATAGCAGTAAAAAAAAATGAAAACAATAATTTGCATTTATATAGTGCCCCTCATGCAGGGTAGCATCCCAGAGTACTTTATAAAAATACCAAGGAGATTGATACTTGGGAAGGAACTCCCCTTCAGAGAAAGAGGGAAAGAAATGGGAATTTTTTTACATTTTTATAAACTATTTTTCAATTTTTGCATCTTTTTGTCAATAGTGAATAATGGTGAACTGAGGAATGGATGACAGAGCGATCACTGAGTCAAAGTCCCGACATATGGTTTGAACCCACAACCTTCCGACTCAGGCGAGAGTGCGACCAAGTGAGCCAGGCAGAAGCAGTTGATAAAAGATTCCACCAATAGAGGTGTTCAAGGTAGTCATTCTAAAACTCTCCTACCAGTCAGTGCTTGAACAATATTTAATGGAGACTTGGATCACAAATAATTTCTAATTCAGAAGTACCAGATACCACAACACCATCAAGACACCTGCATTTTTGGTGTGTAACAGGAATTCAGATTTATTGACCAATTTATTTATCCATTTATGCTCTGCTCGAGTTTCAGGCAGTAAGGACATATTGCGTAACTATGGTCTCAAGTTATTCTCATGAGCCCCAAAAGCCACTGGCAGGTTAAGTGGTAACTGGATGGACCGCTACAATCAGAAGGCTCATTCCCTGTATCAATGGACTCTGTGGAGGGAATGGAATACATCAGACTAACTTTGACTCAGTGATCACAGCAGAGGATACATCCCAGCTCTCTGCAAAAAAGTAATTGCCAATTATTTCACTGATTTACAGAGATGCTTCTTTCACTCACTTAAATGTAGGATACCTTAACTATTATAAGCCATGCTTGCCAGTCACAGAGACACCCTGCGCATTTGAAGCTGTGATGAAGTGAACTCATCGGTTAGCTTAACCTGCTGCTTCTGGCTTTCGAGGTCCAACTAGACTTCTGTAGCCTTTGCACCTCCGTTGTGACTCCTGGCTCCACGAAACCCCGGAAACAATCTTGTGTCATCCCCCCTCTCTCCGAGTCCATGGGCCTCAGCTTGGAAACCACTGGAGTAGGCAACCTTAGACACAGATATCCTTACTATTGATCTTTTTGTTATCAGTTTGCAATGAAATTTCCATAATGAAAATACTGCTATTGCCAACAATTACCATACAATAGGCTCCAGTATTTACATAAATCCCCTAAAAAAATTCAGATATTCCTTTCCCCCCAGGATACAAGCCTCAATGTGAAACTTGTTGCCTTGATGGCTGCATTTTGCATTTTGTTTTTACAAGTCTAGGCAAATGCATTCAACCCAACTTTCCTGGCTCAAACCAATTCTAGTTCTTTCAACTTTACATCACGATATTAGTGACATAGCCTACATGATACGTAAGCAAAAGAATTATAAAACAGTTGTATAACATTGAAAATGTGCATTATCAAGTAGCTTTTCGTCCACAAAATATACAGTCAATTAACTTTACATGATATTCTGTGAGCGCTATATCAAATGCAAGGATTATTATTATTTTACTGGATCTGATTGTATTGCTATAGCTATGTTATGATCAAAGATCAGTAGTTATATCTAAGGTACAGAAAGACAATTTGCAGACTTACGTTGCAGATTTAAACAATCAAATTATTCACACTGATAACAGCTGCAGGAACAGCAGTGAGAAAATGGGCACCACTGTATTTCACTTGTTTTTCACAGCAGCATTCTTGAAGCAATCACAAGATTGGATTTCAATAATTAAAGGTAGCACTGTGACACATGGGTATGGGCACATTATAGCGCACGTTGATGAGAGAATAAATTAATTTGAAAGGAAATTTAGTAAATTTGCCACAAGCTCTAAAGGTAGATAACCAGCCATTCTAAGACGTGGAAACAAAGCTATTTGGTGCAACAATATTTAGATTTCCATATAAAAAGGTCTGGTTCTCATCTATCTTTTTCTGAGCCACTGTCAAGAAAGGAAATGAGAATGAAGAAATGAAACAACTAGCAGACAAGAAACAAAGGATTAGATTGCTCTAAGTCTATTTGCTCACCTATATAGAGTCCGTTGATAACGCCACCATATTCAGCATCTTCTGGAGGAAGGGTATAAGCACAAAGAATAAAGGCCAGGAAAAGAAGCAGAGTAGTTAGAGGTTCAGCCACAAATGCAGATACAAAGCAAGCCAACAAGCTAAGGTAAAGTAATCTAAATTTCCTCAGGTTAACCAAGAATTTGCAGCTGTCAACATTAAATGCGATAGAATACTACTTTGTATATTTCTGTAGATGCATTAACAAATGATTTGGTTAATAGCAAAAAAAGTTACTTTAAACCAATACATTTTGAGAGCAAGCTTTGGTTTATAACTCAGAAATTGCCTTTGTGAAAATGGCAACTCGGAAAGCTCTAATAGCTTTCAAAACTTAAGTGGAAAGCAGTGCAGGATGTTATTCTAATTGTACACAAGAGCTATGGTCATCTGCATCATTTAGGTATTATTCTCCCTTTCTCTGCCTCCCACCTCCAGCCAAGTCAATCCGTACAATTGGGCGTTGGCTACAAACTGCACTTCAAATTAATGTTATTGCTGTTAACACGATGAACACTATTCACCAGTGCTTATTTTTCCTCCCACCACAATTTCCTTGTGATCGTTTAAAAGGAAGAGAATCATTTTAACTGAACGAGACAAGTTTTAAGTGGCATCTTGTTACATCTGGCAATGTGTGTTGTAATTACTAGGTAATTTGAAAATGCTATTTATTCTGTAAGGACTGGCGAAAAACATACATTCAAAAACAAGTCGGAAGTAAATACTTGCAGTACTTATGAAGATTTAAACCCCTCTCACCATCTCCCTCACCCAGGTGGACAATCTACAAAGCATTCAATAGTGATGCACACTGATGTGCTATATGCTCAGGACAGAAATACTGGCATTATGATGGTGTAAAGTTCACTTAAAATAGAATGAAGATTGCAGTGGCTGCACAAGACATAAGAAATACAAAGAAAGTTTAAAATAAAATCTTGTGAATGATAAATCAGATTCTAATCAACAAAATGACGACTGATTTCAAAATGTTGATTTGCGGGATTGACAGGATCAATGATTCAATTTAAAATTCAGAAAGGAATCGAATGGAATTAGAGAAATTTCTCGAATGCTTTCTGTTAAATTGCTTTATTTTTATCCCCATTTTCCTTTCCCAATCAATACTTGCAGTCGATTTGGTGACCAGTTGAGTTGTGGATTAATTTCTTAGTTTCTTATAAGAACAGAGTTCTGGTTGTAGCATTGCAGAAAGGAAATTAGTTAATGGAAAAGTACAGGTTCCCGAGTGATATCAAGGAGTGAAGGGACATACTTATAAGGATTGACTCAGAACAATTAATTGGTTTCTATTGGGAAAAGAATGTTGAATGGGGACTTGAGGTCTTCAAAATTCTTAAAAAGATTCTGAGAATATATTCCCAATGCTTATTAAATTTGTGAGGAGAGAGAACAAGCTCAAAATTGACATTACAAGAGTTAAGAGGGAGGCTGGAAAAATTTTCACAGGGGGTGGGGGAGGGGCAGGTGGTAGAATATAGAATGTCTTGCCACATTGACACTGGGCCTTGGGACGTCCTCCTGACGTGAAAGGTGCTCTACAAATATAATTTGTTGTTGGTAATTCAAACGGAGACCATACATTTCAAAGGAAATTAGATAAACATTTGAAGAGAAAGAATAGAAATGGTTACAGAAAAAGAGCAGGGAATAAGAGATTAGAGTTTTGGGTTCACAGTGTTTGGGCAAGGATAAGCTTTGAGCTGTGGTGTGTGTGTGTATGTGTGTGTGTAATCCAGTGTTCGAAAACATCCCAATCCTGTAGGTAACCAGCTGTGAATTACGTCACAGCAAAGGAACATCACTATGATGCAAGCTCCCGTCTGAGGAGTGTTGGAACAGTGTTCTCATGCAATGGAGTGTTCTCATGAAATGGCACATTGCACATTTTGAGCTTGTTGGTGGAATAATACGTCACACCCTTAAGCTTAAAGCATAATGAAGACCAATTCACAACACTATTCTCCACCCATAAAATCCAATTTTTAAGCAGTTTCCCAAAAATTTTCAGCGGAGGCTATTTTTGGGGAATCTTAATCTGCAAATTAAGAGTATGGAGAAATTAACATTTTTGAAAAAAAACTGTCCTAATGTTTGAGTAGTTTTATTACTGAGACACTAATAGCTTCTCAGCATCATTACATGAGCTAAAAATGTACACCAACTGGTTAGAACACAAAGACAGGAATCTCCACACAACCAATGGCAGGTTAAGGTTGATGCCCAAGACAGTGAGGTGGAAGGTGTCACTATTTTCATCATCTTAAATCCCCGCTTCCTCCACGGGAGAGCCTCACAATGTTGTATTTCAATTGTCAGCTTGCCACTTTCATGAGCTAAAAAGGGAAATGTAACCTAGCTCTGACAGAAGCAACATTTGACGAGGCTCCTCTTCTTCTGAGTAAGTGATTGTTGGGAAGATTGTCAGGCGTCAGTGCCAACGATGAAATAGATTCACCGCCTTGACCTCCTTCAAGTCATTCTCTGTCCTCGGAGTGTCTCCAAGACTCCCTTTTCCTGTATACCTAGATTTATCTCTGAATTATTGCCAGATTTGACAAAAATTAACCTTTTCAAAGTCACTCGAACACCAAGCTGTCACAATTATGCATCTATTCGAAAAGATCAGAGTTCTTGTAACCTTACTCTGATGTGCTGCAGTAAATCAAATGAACTTACACTGTGTTTGTAATGACATTTGATGGCATGATTTGGGTAGCAATTCACTCGTAAATGTCCAATATAAACAGGGACACGCATAGAGCAAATCAATAAGGAGCACTGCTCTTGACATCACCTGGAGGAGGAATCACACTGGACTTGATCCACCCAAGATCTGCTCAAAGCTCTTGGATGACCATTGGGCGACCCAAGAACTTTGAATGGATGTTTTGAATGCTCTGAACGAGTCCTGTGATGACACATTAGAAGCCAAACATCCAATATTTATATAAGCAGAACACCAAGAGCGGGCACTGGCTCTTGGCAATGCAACAACAGCATTATCGAACAACAATCGAGAGATGCAAAACATGTGTTTCCCTCTGGACACAGTGGTGGCAGAAATCCAGTGCACCACTTGCTGTGAAATTCCAGCAGATATTTGTATGCTATTATTCTACCTCAGCCCATTTTTCAGGAAAATCTCAGTGAATATCAGTGCAGCACAAACTTCCCACGTTGCAAACAGAACCGTTAAACAATTGTGAACAATGGACTACAAGTCACAATTGTTTCTGTTCTCTTTGTAAAATAGTGTTGAGAGACCACCAACGAATTATACATCTCACTCACAACTGCAAAGAAACAATTGCTGAAACAGATTCACATCACATTAGGTTTTGCCAAAAATGAATTAACATAACATGACAATAGCTTCCGTTCTGCAGTCAAATGAAAATGCAAAAATACCTTCAGTTTCCTCTGGGAAGCAGAAAGGAATTGAAAAACCGCAAGATTAAAATGGCTAGAAATGAAACTGATCAAAATTATTACTGCGATTAAATCACTTAATGAAAGACAGCAAAAGAAAGATAACCTACCACTCTCAACAGTTTCCTCATCTTAGAACAGCCAAAAAAAACAGAGGAAAAAAAACAGAGATTTTTGCCTTTTTATAACTATCAACAAGGTAAAAAAATGAACACTCAAAACCACTTAACTCACTTGGAACAGATAGGATTTGCAATCAGAAATGGGTACGTCGTGCAAATAGACAGAACATTTCCAAGGTTTGTTAAGCTCAACAGTCTTTGCATTCCAGGTTGAAAGTGCTTTCCTTAAAAAAAATACCAGCCTTGCATTTGGATAGAAAACAAAAATCTATAATTTTCTTTGATAATTTATACTAAGTTTGCCAATAAATGATTCACTTGGGAGTCTCAAATGTTGGGCCTTGGAATGCAATCCACTTTTTTCCTATAATATATTTTTCTGAAGTAATTTTCAATGCAATATAATTTTTATAACCCCCGGCCATTGCTTTTACTAACATAAAAGAGTAAATGTTTCTGCATAAAGATATAGGTTCGGCGTCAGGATAGCTGTCTTTACTTTCTCCATTTGGAGCATTTATATTATACTAGCGTTTGTTTATCATGTACCTCATCTTGTGAACAGATCTGGCAGAACACTACACAATCAATAGTTTGAGAGTTAATGTCCTTTTTGGAAATAGAATCGCAGTCTATATCACTGTATTTAGACTTGTGCCTTTCTGACAATTTAGTCCCTTAAATCACACTTATGGTCTGAGCCTCCTCCTCTTGGTTTACACAGATTCAAGAGAAAGGGTACTAATTTTTAAATTATTTTATGTCTAAAGTACTCAAGTTAATTAAGTAAACTGATTAAGAGAAATTCCTGCAAGAAGTTCCCACTACAGATGAAGTTCATTGCTGCAAGATGTAAAATTGCTTGCAAATAACTGCTTTACATTATTTCTAAACTTTTGGCCTTTTGAAAATTGGTACCATGCACAAAGCATTCTTTCTTTTGTCTCTGTTCAAGTTCAAATGCAACTGAATGTGGTACCGCAGTTGAGACAAAACTTGGTGGTTAAACTAGGTTACATCTTGTTCAAATGAATAACATTTGGATGCAGTTAAAAACTTCCTCCTGTTCATGTGGTCTTAATTCCATAAATCGAAGTTAAATAAAAATGAAAAAATATAACTAAACGCTATCAAAACTTGTAGGGACCTTATAATGTACGTTTACAAGCCATTTCTGGTGCTGTAATAATGTTCAAAATTGTCTAGGGTAACAAAAGGTACAGAGGGCTTCTTTTAATTCATTCATGGAAAATGCATATTTGAGAACATGGCAGTCCAGCTGCTTAAATCAAACACTTAAAAAAGAGTACATCATGTTTAGTATTAAATTGCCATCGTTGTTTTTTTTCCAAATAGTTGGGGAGACTGAGACTTTGGAAAGAATTTGACTGCAGCAGTAATGTGACTGTTTCTCCTCAGGCAACTACAGTGAAAAATATAATTCTTTGAACTGATGTTCCCCCCAAATAACCACCATATTTCTATCTCAGGTGAGAATTCTATAACCAGAGCTCCTGTAATTCATTCTGGTTCTGGCAGCATGGGACAAATTAATAGGGACTAAAAACTGGCAAGTTTTTCTTATTTTAAAATGTTGTATCAATTGAACTAATCGCAGTCGTAAAATGGAACTCAGAACATGTCAAATGTTCGTACTGTGAAATGAAGCCACAGGCAAACAAGCTTCCAACATTTATCAGAGGTGAAGGTTAAGGAAGCAACTCAAGACTCAACATAGCATAGCATTCCACTGCCAACCAGGTGCTCAGTATTTTAGAGGCCCTACTGTCGTAATTTTCTTTCATCAATTTGGGGTTTCACCCCTTCACGGGCACTGCCCGATATGAAATCTCGCACGACACTGGGATAAATCAAGGTGTGGCAAGGTTGGAAGGGCAACAGCATTAAGCCTTCCCTGGTTGGCAGAATGGTGAGCAGCCTGCAAGATGGGAGAAATGGAGGAAAGACTCAAAGAAGCAGATCTAAAATGACTGCACTGAAACATCCAGGATTGTATTATCTAAAGATATTTACCGAAACATTCAAGTAAAAACATCTATGGCTAGCAAATGGGTTATTGACTCACATGATCGTCTACTGGAATTCCTTTGTGGTTGAACAAATGCTACAGGTCTTCTAAGTGCAAATCTCCTGCAGAAAGACAATTACAAGAAGAAAGTTGATATTGGAGCCATAGGTAATTCGAGTGAAATAGAAGAGGGGAAAAGCACAGGAAAAAAAACATATACTTCCATTTTAATCTTGCAAATAATCTGAAGAAAACAATGCAATAGATTTATGTGCAGACAGGATAAATCCTTCAGTTTTCAGACTTTGGTAGTGGAGCCAGAAAATCTGAAACCAAGAGCAAGCCTTGCACATCAAACTGTGGTGTGCTGTTTCCATGCACCCTTTTCCAAACTGGAATGCCACTGATGCTATCATTTACTGTCATTACTTCGAGTTTTGAGGAAATCCAAAATATTTTGGCATTGATTTTGCACAGTAATTATATTATACACAAACATGCTGTTTTCATACCAATGCAATCAGAAAACAAAGCTTTTTCAAAGATATCTTCTTTCAATTTGCATTTTTGCACAAAACTATGCTTATAAAGCTCTGCCACATGATTATGACACTGTTGTGGCTGTATATTTAGTAGCTACCTCTCCTGGAACTGCTTTGAAGGGATTAGACCTGCTCTCAGATTGGCATCACACTCGCGCTTGGCTTGCCACCAGGTTCCATCATCTTGGCTGACGATCTGAAGGATATCTCCCTTCTTGAAAGAAAGCCCAGCTTCTTTACATGGAATAGCTTTATCCTCGTTAGGATCATAGTCAAACAGGGTCCTGACAAACATCTGGCAACAAAAGAAAACATTTGTGTGTCAGATCACAACAGCTCCTCCAATTGTGAACAATTTACATGGCATTATTGTAGGCACGCTGTGGAAAGTGAGCAAGAGGCTAAAGCAATTGAATCCTCATTTTGATGTTTGGGGGACGGGGACGGACAAAGCAGAAAAATATTCACAATATTGTCAAAACACTTTAGTAACCAACATGAATAATACAGAAGGGAGAAAAGAGACCATGAGGAGAAAACCGAAGACTGGCCAAATAAAACAATATTCCTCAGTTCAAAAGATTGAATGCATTATGGTTGTGCTTCAGTTGTAAGGACCCCAATTTATCATAGAATCAGAGTTGAGCTAATCTTTCACAATCATATCTAAAGCTTTCAGAATTTAGATTGCTAAGAGGGAATGATCTCCTCTGGTCCATCTCCATAGACGTAATTTTTTGAGCCAATAAAATCATAACTATAACTCCTCATTCCTGCTTTTCTATACCATCCTTTCCATGGCTCCTTTACATAATGAGGTGCCCAAAACTATGTGTATTGTTCCAACTCTGGGTGAAGCAATGTCCTGCGTTCCAATTAGCATCACTTCCTTGCTTTTTATTGAATACCCCAGGTATTTTACTCAGTACATAAAATTAATCATAATCCTTACTTCTTTGGCCTTTTCCACCTGCAGTACCACCTTCAAAAATCTGCATATCTGTACGGCTACATATCTACATTTCTCAGCATCAGAATATTTTATGTCTTTGTTCTTTGTCCCGAAATGTATGACGCCACATTTCTCAATTTTAAACTGCGTTTACCAACTATCGACCACAAAATACACAAAGCCACAAAACTTGTATCCAAAGTATCATAGCTTGTTTCTAAAGATACCTTGTGAATACGTCTCTACGACGTGATAGGGCGCCAGATCAAATACAAAGATTATTATTGTTATTTATTATTATCTACCCACTCTGCTGTGATGTATGTCCTCCTTCCTCAGCTTTCTATATCCTAGATTTGGCAACTTCAGCAAACTCAGAAATTATTTAAACTATGCCAAGTTATAAACCAATGTTCGAAATGTTTACAAAAGAGGAAACGTGAAGATAGGATAATCTTGAATTCCTGAAACCAAACTATTTTCCAGCCTGCAGTGTGTATACATTAGGACTTTTAAAGGGTTTGGACAATTGAAATTGAAATATGGACAATTGAAATATGGTCAACGCGTCTGAGTCAGAAAGTCATAGGTTCAAGCCCCATTGCGACTTGGAACCCACAGTCTAGACTGACTCACTTCAATACTAACTGGGGAGTGCTGCATTGGCAGAGGTGCCATGCTTCGGATAAGACATTAAACTGAGGTTCTGCCTGTGCCTTTTCTGGTGAGTTTTCAAGATTCTATGGCACTATTCGAAAAGAGATGGAAGTTGCTCCTGGTGTCCCAGCCAAACAAACAAGTAAAAAACTGATCCCTGACGTCAAGGCTGTTCAATTGCTGTGGGCACATTTGCTGCCGCATTCGGCAACATTTTAGAATTAACTTCTTTATGCTGAGGTTGGATGACAAGGTCCCAAAAGGAATTAGTAAATGGATTTTTGAAGGGGGTTACTGACTATTGCCAAGATTCTGAAGAAAGGAAGAGGATCCCAAATAACACTCCATGCACTAGTGTATTTCTCTGCATTATCAACCTTGCCGAATGCCACTGCATTCAGGAGCTTAAATGTGATATGCATGAGCAAGTCATGGCCAAAGTGAGATTCTTCCAGCAAGTTCAATGTAAAACGCACAACGTCTAAATCAGCAGAACAAATGTGAACCCACCAAGTCTGTGAAAAAGTGAAATGATGTGCAATGCCATAACTGTTCAGGATGATTAAGTGATATCTCTTTAGAGTAGGTGAGGAATCTTTCAGATAGTCTCAGGCATTTATAAAGATGATTTTTTGGTGCTGGTACACTATTTTCCGAAGAATGCACCTTTGCCAATTTCATGCAAAATTAGGAATAAAGTTTGATGTGAATGCTGGCACAATTTGTAGGCTTTACACAATGCTGTCAATGTTAATGCATTCCAGCCGGCACCATAGTACAAATGTACAATTCATAACTTTCATCAGTCAGGTTTGACGGAAAGTGAATCACCTTTTTACCTGCTGTGCACGGTCAGAAAAGCACAAACTAAGTCTTATTTGATGATGTCCTGCAGGTAATAATGTTACAAAGAGCAAGTATTAAGATAAATATTATGGTTTGGAGAACTGTTTACTTTTACAGAAGCTAACTTAGAACATTTGTATATTTAGTGGGCAACGGAGCTATTTTAGATGCAAATGTAAGATTATGTTTCACAGCTGTTTTTAAAAACATGTAGATATTTAAAGTTATTTACTAATGTTCCAATTTTACACAGTAAGACCACACCAATCAATCAATTAATCAATTCAATATGAAATTGCACTTTAGTATATATTTCAGTAACCTTTGGAATGATTTGGGACCCAAATAAATATTGAATAAGAAACAAATCCAAATTATGAATCCCTCTTTGCCTTTCACTTCCTCTCACCACCTTCATAAGCCTCTTAAAAATGTAACTTTAAAACCTAACTCTTTGACTGTGCACTTGGTCAATAACAGTGAATTACACAGACTCTCCTGAAAATTTGGTGCTCATCCTACGTGAAAGGTGCTGCCTACATAAGTACTGAATCGTAAACAAATAAAGTAATGAACAATGGGCAAATGACCAACATTAATAGTTTCAGGCAGGATTAGGCCATTTATTTGTCCATCCAGCTAACCCATCCAAATTTCCAAGGGATTCTATCAACACTGCTGCATCTCCATTATTGTAGCAAGCGATTAACGGGATGATAGAAGGTGAACTAGATGGACATTGGTGTTTTTTCGTCCAGCAGTTCCTATGTTCTATATGATCGTATAATAAACTCTTTTAAATTCCAAAAAGTTATCCAGCTTCATTTTCAAGATGCTTCTTCATTCCTTGATCCACCACCAGTACTGGCAGTTTGTTTCACAAGTTTATGGTCTTTTTCTAAAAACATTTCACTCACACTTTCTGTTCACTTTTTGTTGTCCATACTTTGGAGCTGGGTCTCCTTGTTCTTTTCTTACATGGCATGAAATCTGGGTCCAAATGTTTTGAACCGTTTATAACAGTAAACACTTATATTCAATCCCAGCTCAGTCTTCTTGGTCAATAGAGAAAAGTGTTAGGTTGGCCAATATTTGCTCAATGTTCTAATGCCTAAATTCTGGAATGTATCTCGTAGCTCTCCATTACATACCCACGAAGGACGGAATATCTTTATTCGCCTTTTGCAACAACACGTTTTTCAGATCCAAATGAAAAAAAGGACAAAGTATTCTGGCTGCAAAGACAAGGGAGTTCCCGGTGTGCTGATCAACAATCCCCCAGATCAAATTGGTCATTCACCTCATGGTTGTTTGTACAAAATACACAGTCACTGTGAAAGCACAGTAAATCCTGTGAAGTGGTTTGACACATCCAACCGATTTGAAAAACTCTATATTAAATGTAAGGTTAATCGTTGTCATCATTATTGTAACATGGACTATTTCTAGCGAGTGGGTGGTTTATCGTCAAATCCACTCTTGCAATAATGAAAGAAAGAAATAAAAATGTGAAAACAGCAGTTTTATACCCCCAACCCCTCACCGCCCTTAGGAACGAAAATCTAAAGCAAATAAATTATTTGACAGACAACTCAGCTAACCTTGAAAATAACACCTGATGTCACGGGGGATTGACAAGGCAGCAGTAGCAACAGCAGCGGACAACAGAAGTTTTATTTAATATTTTTTCCCTCCATTAATCTAAACTTGTCACCCCAGCTATTGCAGCCGAAACCTGTGCCAAGGTACCTTGTGGGCTTGAGGAGAGCCATCCCCAGCAAAAGACCACCGTAAAAGCTTTATATGCTTGACTGGTTTTATGGGCTGCTAACCACAAACACACTGCAGAAGTGAATGCATTTATTGAGCAGGACAAACACTTGGGTATTTGTGTTACTTGACAAAAGTTCCTACATATGTAGAGACCAGACACACGGATATTTAGAAGTATGCATTCATAGATGTACAGACCGACTCAAGACAGTGTCATAACACATCCCACTATTTCCAGAATTTCAACAGGATTTTTTTATTTCCAAAAAATATTAACTCAATATTAAAATTAATATTGAATGAGAGATTATTTTTTAATTAGATTTGCAGTGGATAAATATTCAAAATATCTTTCAAGAGCACAGCGCTGATTTAAATGGAAATTAACAAGAGAAATTACGTATTTAAGGATAGCAGAAAACAAAGATCGTCATAAGTATTATTTAAAATAAATGTAATAATCTCTGCATTTGATATTACACCTTTTACGTTGGGAGGATATTTCAAAGAGCTTCACAAGATTTTGCTGTAAAGTGTAGGGACTGTATTTTGTAGGTGAAGACAGCAGTTAATTTATCCACAAATACCCAAGAAGTGAGTAAACAATTGTGTTTGGAAGATTATTTGCCCATAGAGGAGAAATTCCTTTCTCTTTCTGAATAGTGCCATGGGATCTTTAACACCCCCCTGAACAGGCAAATGGGACTTCAAATTGATGTCTCATCCGAAGAACAGCACCTCCAACAATGCAGCACTAACCCCAGTACGGCACTGGAATGTCAACCCAGACTTGGTTCAAAGTCTCAGTGTGGGACTTGAACCAACGACCTTTTGACTAACAACCGAGCCAGGCTGACACCAAATAATGGAAATATTATTCAAATTGGTTCAAGGAAATATTAACTTGCATACCAAAAGGAAGATTATTTTATTTCTGTGTGAATTCCAATTGGAAACTGAACAAAATACTTAATGTTCTTTCCACTTCCATGTAATGCATAAATTACATAACTTTGTTCAACCCAGTTTCCTGTACAGTCCTGAATTTGCAATATCTAAATGTATTGCACAACATACAATAAAAATATTAAACAAAGCACAGCAAAACCGGCTGCAAGTATTTATAATAGTAATAACTTACATTTGATACAGCAACTTTCACATTAAGAGGGCATCTAAAAGCGCTTCACAGAATGCACTGTAAAATGTAATGACTGTATTTTACAGGCGAATGCCACAGCCAATCTGCACACAGCAATGTCCCACAGCCATGAAGAGAGTGATCAATACCAATTTTACTTTTGACCATAAAAAAAACTTATTTTTGGATTGCTGGCCAGGTCCTCAAAGACACTCTCTACTCTTGTACCATGGGATCTTTTAGACTCAACTGAACAGGCAAACGGGATTTACTGTCTCACTTGTAGGAATGCACCTCCTACAAAATAGCACACCACCAGCACTGTATTGAAGTATCAACCTAGACTGAGATCAAAGTCCTAACATGGTGCTCTCAATTAAGCCAGGCTGATAGACACAGTTTAACTTTTATTTAAATTAAAAAGAGCGTAAAAAAAGAATGTGCACTGCACTCATATGGCTGGCAACCAAGGTGTACAAGCACTCTGGGACGCTACTCTGGGTGAGGGGCGCTATATAAATGCAAGCTGCTGTTGTTGTACAAATCCGATATTCATCCCAACCCTAACCTGGTCCAGTGCAAATATGGCAGAAACAAAGTAAGCATAAATATTAGCAAACTTGTAGTACACAAGAGGTTAGACTGAAATTTGATGGGATTCCCAACACCACATTGAAGATTAGCAACCAGTTGCTGATATATCCACTGTACAGTAGGATGCTGTGTTAATCACACTGAATAACAAGGTAGTCTAGTGTTTGTAACTGAATAACGAGAATAGATTGCATTAGTGATTGTGTATCAGTACTGTTGTCCTGAGAGCAATAACCTTCAGTGAAGAAGCACATTCAAAGATAGATAGCATTCAAGTCAGAACACTTAGATTTTACCTTATTTGCACTATAGACAGGCGGATCACTTCACCCATTCAAGAACATCTTGAATGTAGTCACCAGCACTACATTAAGACGAAGTGCAACAAACTCAAAGTCAAAAATCTTTTTTTAAAACAAAAATATACCTGTATCCCTCAAATGTTCATGCTTAACATGCCTACCTTGGTTTCTTTCACTTCTGTCTCCTCTTTGATGCCAGGGATTATTTTAAAAGTTATTGCTCCTTGTGACTGAGCCTGGACAAAAAAACGAGAAGCCCACATCAGCAAATGGGTTTTTAGTTTAAAAAAAGTATCAATCAGCTTCACATCATGTGTCACAATGAAAACCCACTCATTCATAGCATTTGAGATCAATAAAGATGATTTATCACTACATTTCTTGATTATTCAAAACAAACAAACAATCTGTGTGTCGTTTTTCTTCGTGTTTTTTTCTGAATATCCTGAATACAGAATGCCATTCAGCAGTGTCTTTAGAAATACACAACAAAATATCTTTTAACATCAGCATACGTTTGTGGCTTCAGTTTTTTGCCTCCAAATAAGCTTAATCAACAGCATATATAAACACCTAGAATTGTGTACACCTTTAGCAAAAGAGAATGAGCTAATTATACCTGCAGTCTCTATGAAGGCAGTGTTGAATTCAGGCCTACCAGTGTAGGCTTGATGATAATACATTCCTCGTAATATCCGAGAACTCTTCCCCCACACCAAGCCAGACTATTTCGGGCCAAATAAATGTTGAAATTTTGAATGGCCTGGCGAAGGAGCAGGCTAAATGCACGTACCGTAAAAGCATCAAATCATGACAATGTTATCGTAAACAGAGTGAGATTTGGGAAACTAATTTTAACAGGCTTCAATCTGTGCCCCAGTAGGTATTTTGAAAAAGAATATCAAGTTTTAAAATGTATAGTATATAGTCACCTGCCTAATATCAATCGAAACCATTCTGTTTCCGTTTACATATACAATTTATAGCTTCTTCACTTTTAACCACTTTTCCTATTATAGAGAGGCTTAAATGCTTTCTGAAATCAACAATGTTAATCACATTATCTTCACACACTGTTAGATTAGTTAATATTATCTGGATTTCACAAACCGATGAGAGATAGGCTTTACTGCCTTTGCATTCAGCACTGGATTGCTTGCTTAGTACTCATATTTCATCTCCTCTCCCTTATCGATATTCAAGTTAACATACCTGTAACTCCCATGATAGTTGTGACCTATTTTAACATTGGAAGATTCTGAGCTATTTGCCAAAACATCAAATTTCCACCCACCATCCCCTGAATTCTGAATTAATTTTGTGCTCTCAGATTGGATTCCGCTTGGAACCACTGATATATGAATGCTGCGTTTGCCTACAAAAGGTCGCTATATTTGACAGTAATTATCTATCAAACGTTTTGAGACTTAAACATAAGGTGCTGTAAAAATGCTTTTTATTCCCTCCGTCTTTTTTTAAAAAAAGATTTAGAGTAAAGTAAATCTGGTAGAGTCAATTCGCCCCCTCCCCACTGCAATAGTTTGACAAAACAATCATCTCACCCATATCACCTCTCATCTTTAAGAGTTCCCACTTGTTCCACAATGTTTTGCCTGTTAGACATGCTTAAAGAATTTCTATTTTCCCTTATGTTCATTGCAGTTTTTTCCAAACTCATTGAACTTCATATTATTTCCATCTCTTCACAAATACGTTTTCCAATCTGCCCTCTTCTCATTTGCTTCAAATTACTTTTGATTTTCCTTAACATTTTTTCCTATCCTTCCTACTTAACTGTTTAGGGTCTAGATTTGGACATTAACTAGCTACTTCTGAAAATTACTCATTTCATTTACATTTTCTCCTGTTTTTTCTTCAAATTATTAAATGTTTGTTTAAACTTTCCCCCGCTAGTTCTGATGAATCCAGTGTTCAGCTCCAGTCCCAACATCTCTGATAATGTCCACTTCCAGCAAGACTTGAATAACTCTCAAGCTGGGGCTGACAAGTGGCAAGTAACATTCATACCACATAATTACCAGGGACTGACCATCTCCAACAATCACCTCGCCCTCACAACCAACACCGAGTCCCCACATCTACATCTGGAGGCCACTGTTGGGACGATATTTAACTATTTAAGAGGAAGCTAGATATACACGTGAATGAGGAGGGAATAGAAGGGTATGGGATGGAAATTCTGGAATTCTCTCCCTCAATTCTTCCGCCTTGCCCCCTCCTTCCCCTTTTGTGCATCACGCCTAAAGACCTTTCTTTTCAAACATGCTTACAGTTATCTCCTCCCTCCTACCAGCTCAACGTCAGGCTCTGCCACTGTTAAGTGCTGTGAGACATTACCCTGAATGAAGAGCACTGTATAAATGCAAGTTGTTGTTGTACTATCTTAAGTTGTTGCTCTCGTGTCACTGACTCACTGACAGGTAGAAATATTTTCCACCTATTAACTCTATCATAATTTTAAAGATCTGTATCTCAACCTGTTTTGAACTCACCGCTCACTTGAATGGGTGCAGTGAAAACACTCGTTCACTCACCATCCTGATTTGGACATGTATCAGAGTTCCCTGGTTAAAATTCTGGAACTGTCAACAACACCACATGTGCAAGCAACATGGGGTGTTGTGAAAGGATTGCAGTGGTTTTAAAAGGGCCCATATCACCTTCATCCCTTCACACCCTCCCCCAACATCAATCTTTCTTTCTTCATAACCCTAAAATTTGGCACAAGTTTTATTTGGGGATTGTTTTGGTGCTCAATAATGTCCAGCGTGTGTTACATCCTCAGTATCAAGCACTGCCAAGTCAGACATAGCATGTAAGCTAAATAATGAAGCTCTCCTTTATACTGTACCAATAAATATACCTTCAACACCACCTCAAACTGCACCTTCTCACTGCTCCAATGTGGCAGTTCCATTCTCACCCAGCCAGCATTTTACCACAATGCCAATTTGTGCTGCATTAAGGGAAGGAACCTTTAGAATATAGGTCTGGGAACATTGAGAAGTAGGTATGACTTGCAACTTGCACTTCACTATCTTACAACGTTATAAGGAAGCAGCTAACTTCATGTCTATCTGACTTGAGGTACAGACCGCAAAGTTGAAAGGACAATTTTATAACCACACCAATCCCAAATGCTGTCCATGTCTGGTTATCAAATTATCTCTGGCAGGATATTAGCCCCTTGAGAAGGTACAAGATGATCTATTGCAACAGAAACGTAAGTTATGAAAGGTTAAAAAAGTAGTGCCTCTCTCTCTGCAAAAGAGATGTGGGTGATATGTTTGAGTTTTGAAGATTTTGCAGATATTTTTGAGTAAAGTTGATTCAGGAAAATTGTTCGCAATCTTAAACAGTTCATAGTACTAGAGGAGAAATAAATTAAATCGTACTGAATTATTTATTTACCTATTTTGCATAAACTTGCAGAATAAATTATGAGGGAAGATTAATTAAACATGTAGAACAAACAAGTTCAAGATACATTTCCAGAGAGTTTCTGGATAAGAGACGGATTGCAGGCCTAGTTGATGCATTAGTCGAATTAAAAAGTGATAGGGTTTGTGATTAAGGTACAATAGCCCTGTTCTGAAAATATTTTATCCCAAAAGAAACTAAGGGGAAGGTTAGGAAGAAATTCTTTACTCAGAAGGTGATAGAATTCTTTGGACCAAAATGGGGCAGACAACAGGAGTCCACACTATCTTTTGAAAGGGAATGTGCAGATGCTTGAAAAAAAAGGAACATTAAAGGATTTGGGGGAAAAAACAGGAGTGGAGACTTGTAGGGCTGAATGGCCTGTTTCTGTGCTGGAGTCTTTAATTTCTTAAGTTGAGTGCTTATCTTCTATTTAGAAATAATTTGACATCTTAACTTCTAAAGAGATTTGAAAGAAATCTGAGCTAAGAAGCACCAAAATATAAGCCAACGAAAGCGAGAGGTTTCTGCTGTGGAAGATGACTGAAAATGCCTCATTTCTCGAGGCATAAAAACAGTCCTGAAGACCTGCCTCAGATTAAGATGGAGCAGATGGCCTGATGCCAGGAGCATGAATTCTCCTTGAAGGGACATTGTTCCTCATCCTCCCCATAATGGGCTAATGGTGCTTTCCCATTCCGGAGATTGAAGGAATGAAGAAGAATTAAATAATTCAATGATGGATTTACCAAAATCTCAATGATTTCTTCAGGCCTTTTATCTTCAACTGCAATTCCATTAACTTCCCTCAGCTCGTCCCCAACATGAATGAGCCCTGTTGTGACAAAACAAAGGACTGGGGTATAAAAATGGATTTCACATTTACTGCTTACAAATGATTACAATGCACTTTTGCTTTTACAAAACAGAGAACTAAAATCATACCGCTTCTGTCGGCAGCCCCTCCTCGCATGATTCTTGCCACAACAATCGCACCGGTTTGTTCGTCTCTTCTTATTGTTGCTCCCTAATAAACCAGAAAGGGAAAGAAAGTGGGGGGGGAGAGGAAATTTTCATTTATTATCAAAATAAAGATGGCTCATTTTTAATTTTTGTCAGTACTGAGGAATGAGGCTCAAATAGTTATTGAATCTTAGAAAACATTGCAATAGGAAGTGTTTATATTTATTTCATTATCAAGTATAAACAGTTTATCCCATTTCAGAGAAGCAGAGAATGTTACAGCATAGAATCAGGCAATTCAGCCCATCACGTCTGTGCTGGTACCTTTTTCCACATGATCCACCTAATCTAATCACACTCTCCATACCCTTTAATACCCTTTTTTTCAAATATCTAATTCTCATTTGAAATAATTCCACTGTTTTAAGAAAATAAAAATAATTCCCCAAAGCAAAAGTTTGTCCAGCCACTATTAACGTCAGAATAGCTTCAACGTTTGTGATTGAATTAAACTTAATCCAGTGGACTTCTGGGTCACAGTTAACTTTTTTAAAAAAAATAATCAAATTACTGAGATCCTGGGGCACTTCGCAAGGACAGCGGGTGGAAGAGAATAAAGACTTTGGAATGAAGCAAATTTCAGTAATCTCCAATACAAATAGAATCACTTCACTTAAAGGGGAAAGGAAATCTTGCAGCAGTACTTTCTTCAAAGTAGTCCTCTTCTCCCCCACTCCAACCCACCCCCCCCCCACCCATATAGAAGAAACTGGACCTGCGTCCTTTTCAAGGCTCCTCCAGGGACTTCACTGATTGTGAGGAGTCAGTGGAGTTCCAATGTGACTATTGATTTAAATAGGTTGGAGTTTATTTGGAGTTGGATAACCATGTCATATATCACTTAAACACGAGAAAGCACAAGGGGGAGAATGCAAAAAAACTCCCTCATTGGTATTTCTCATTCCAGGGATAAATGTGTTTTTACATCTACACTTATTCTTTCCATAATCTAGGAGAAGTGCTTTGTTCAGAAAGCATTCCCTCCAGACTCAAGCTTCCCCTTGAAATGTAAAAGCTAACATTTTTAAGTCTAGTGGAAACTCGCTATTTAGGGAAGTCAGTAGAAGAAATTTATTTTGTTCTGGTCAGGATTTTGGACACTTTCACTTACACATTAAAAAAACAAAACATAAAAAGTGGCCTGAATTGTCCTCATTACTGAGTTTTTTTTGTATCTTAAAAGGAGCCGAAAGATAAACTGAGATTTGATTATGAACAAGGAAAACGATTGAAAGGATCAGCATGTTAATCGCTTACAATCTTTAACCATGTTACAGAACACTTCTTGACGGCCCTATGGACCACAGACTGTCCACCACTATCCTAACTACTCTGTGTGAAAAAGAAATCTCTTAACCCCCTCATTTGCTCATCTACTATCTTACACTGATGCCCTCCAGGCCCTGATTCACCAAATAGTGGAAATAATTTCTCCCCACTAACTATCAAAACCCTTTATAATTTTAAAGACCTCTTTCAGGGTCAACTCTCAACCTTGTTTCTTCCAGTTTCTCCAGTCTCGCTCATAGGCCAAACCACTTGTCCCAAGTATCATCCAAGAAAATCTCCTTTGTATCCCTCTATCATCTTGACATCTTTCCTAAAGGAGGTGGGGGGCGAAGAGAGGATGGGCCACTAATAGATAGAATATTCTAATTGAGATCTACCTAATGTTTCATTATACAAATTGACATTCTTAGCCAGGTCACTGCAAGTTTCTCTCTGTACATAAATAGTGGAATAAGATCTTTAATAGCTAACCAAGCCTAAAATATGTTTTGGTCAACTAGCTGTCTGAAATATTCAGAAATCCTCCACCATGCTTAAGAGCACTTAAATAAGACAGAGTTCCACATATGTATGCCACCTACACATGGAACTTTCTGGAATGGAATGCATCCTGAGTGGGATGCTCCCTGCCTTTCTAATTCCAGAGATTATTAGGCACAGGTTAGCAAGAGCCAAGTTTTGGGATTCCTAGAATGTGCCTTATGGTAATGATGGGAGTTTAACCAGCTAATACCACATAGCTTGCCACAGACTGGTAAACTTCCCGCTGCTTGTCAAGCTAGGAATACCCTAGCTATTAGGTGTTTGGCTTGTAGGATTAAGGGGGGCTGAGTTGGAAGAAACCCTGCTCCCAGTATGGTAGTCAAGATCTAGATTTAACATCTCATCTGAAGGATGGCATTTCTCACAGTGCAGTTTCCAGTACTACACTACAATCTCAGTCTAGTCTGTGAGCTAACGTTGAAAAGTCATGTTTTAAACCACAGCTATCTGATCCAGAGGCAATAAAGCCAAGTTAATACAGTATATCCTGCAATCAACCACAAATATTGTGTATGGTTATTTAATTATCTGCAGATTAGCTGGATACATAAATTCACAACGCTGTTTCAGTGTCTGCAAATTTAGTTCAAATAATCTCAGCATGAATTCAGAACCAAACGGATGTGACTGTTACAGTGGCTGTTTGGCGACTGCCAAAAGTGCAATATCCGGTGTTAGTTTAAGCAGGACAACTTCCAAGAGAGTAGAAACTAAGCAAATCCTTGGTGGGTCAATGTGAACTGACAGATCACTTAATGGTCTGGTGATGACTCTTCATCATAACTGAATCCTTAAACCATTGTCATTTTCAGTGTTGATAATCTGCTGTTTTTATCTGGAATGCACTGCCTGAAAGGGTAGTGGAAGCAAATTCATTAATAGCTTTCAAAATGGAATGGATATTTGCTTGAAAAATAAAAAAAATTGCAAGGCTATGGGGAAAGATCAGCGGAATGGGACTAATTGGATAGCTCTTTTAAAGAGCCGGCATACGCACAATGGGAAGATGGGCTGCTTCTGTGCTGTGGGATTCTTTGATTCTGTGATTGATAATTTCTAGCATCTGAACTCTCAGTCTGGTGTGGATACTCAAGTGAAGTAATAGATTTCTGCATATGCTAGACACCCAGCGGCCCCGGCCCCCACCCCCCAAAAAGTTGTTAGAATACGGAATGCCTTGACACAAGTGATTATTGAAGCTATGAGCAAATCATTTGAATGGGAATTAGATAAAGGAACAACATGAAAGGGTATGGGAAGAACAGGGAATTGGGCTTAGAGTAACTCACTCCAATGGAGATGCCAGCACCAATATCAACGGAATTACTTCCTTCACTCTGTGCTGTAATCTCTATGATTGATCCCTTTGTCGAAGAAACATAACTGCACCCATCAGAGTGTGCCCAGAGGTAGATACAGCAATGAGACGGGAGGCAGACTCCACATCGGCTGTGATTTGCAGATATCACAAGATCTTAAAAGAATGAACTTCAGAAACAAGCTGATAACACTGTATAGCTAAGTTGCTAACAGGCTGCCTTGAAGAAATACTTAATCAAATATCTATATAAAAAANTATAAATGAGAACATGTCACTATACCAGTGGCTCTTTGTTTTTGACAAGACGAATGATTTTCACTGAATCTTCATCATCATCGAGGTCATCAGGCATTGGGGGTAACACAGGGTCATAATTCTTCGAAGCCACTGTGTCATGAACAGATAGTAGAGCCTGTTTATAAGTAAATGTGCAGCAATAAACACAGCGTACAATGCAGAAACACCCGGCCTTAAACCAAGACATTGCACACTGCAAATTGAAAGGAAGTTTGTTTTTGGACTTGAAAGGTTCAGTTGCCCACGCTATGCTACAATTTTTCATATTCCAATTTGCTAATCACAAGCCTGTCGTGCCATCACTGGAGGCAGAGCTTTCAGTCACTTTGTCCCAACAATACAACAATAGAAGTTGTTGTATTTAACTTCATATAAAGGTGGATGTCAGCTCATATATAAAATGAATGATCCATATTTCTGTTATGCAACATTATTGGCATATTTTAATAGGTTTTGACCAGCTGAAAATCGAATAACAAATGTTCCTATCTGAACCAGTGTATTCTGGCATAGATAAGTTGACGTCTTAGATTCAGTAAGATTCATATTCCATTCCAGTAGGACTGCAAGCGAAATACCGATTTAGACCAGTTATACTGAATCAACCTAAAATCAATTAAAGTACATGACGCAACTACCCCACAATAGAACACAACAACATTGCACACACATTATGAGGCATTCAGACCAGATTCACAATAGTGAACTCTGGATTCCCTTATTCTGGTGCGGCTCAAATCGGGAACAGCTGGAATGACTATGCTGTACATCAGGGACCAAGTTCTGGCTGGATTCAGTAAACCACCACAGTCCACAGTATGCAGTGTTAATGGGGGCAAATTTGCTTGTGCGAAGTGGATTGAGTACAGTGGTTAGAGGAGACACAATGTAGGAATGTAAACACAAGCATAAATATATCAACTAGTTTTGAAAGAAAAACTAGTGGGAAAGAGATTTATCTTTACTATCCTGTACTTCACATTGTTGTTATTTGTCAAAGCAGCTTTGAATGATTCCAAACCATGTGTGCACCAACACTAAATTCCAACTGAATAGGAAGTGATCAGCTACGCAGTGCAAAAGATGCATTCTAATTGTGAGACACTGAACACCTCACTAAAAACAATGCAAGTTTGAACTTTTGACCAATCATTTTACCTCTTTCTAACACCAATTCAGAAAGGGCAAAACAAGCTCCGAAAAACCTCAGTTTTACTGCAAGAGCAGGTGAGCTTTCACACCTTGAAACTCTAGACTTGCTGAATAGCACTCACTGCCAATCTGGTACTGCAGTGATGATGTTTTCGAAAGGTACTCCCACATTTTTGGTGATGACCACAGGCAATACTGTGCTACAGATGGAGTTAGGGTGCAGCGGGTTTGAAATGTTTGAAAAACTTCAGACATTTGTGTTCACATTTTTGATGAGTGAGAGAAATGGACTGCTCTTTTCAATCATTAGAATTTCACAGGGGCTCTGTGGACGTGCAGTGGCTAGAGAGGAGACACAGTGTGAATACAAGCATAAAGGAGAGTGGAAATCTGGAACTCTCTCCCCCAAAAAGCTGTGCATGCTGGATCCATTCAAATTTTCAAGGCTGAGGTGAATAGATTTTTGTTAGGTAAGGGTATCAAGGAGTATGGGGCAAGGGTGGGTAAATGGAGTTGAGGTACAGATCATCCATGATCTAATAGAAGGGCGGAACAGGCCCAAGATGCTATGTTCCTATGATGTGGATGCTTTATAACAGAGCATAACCATTGGTAGTGGCTGGGGTCAAATTTGCAGGTTGGGTTGACAACCCATGAACAATATTTGCAGGTTGTGAAGCAATGTGCAAACACTGTTCAGAAAGAACTTCAAGTGCTCCCTATACTGTACTAATCAACAAATGTTTAGCAAAGACAAGTGTCTAGCTCAGACCTTTTCCCAAAATAAAACAGAGTAGCTCTACACTGATAATTTTAGCGCAGTTTAGCTCACGCTGGTAGCAATTCTACAACAGCATTGCTCACAATCATAGCAATTTTATAACTGCTTTGCTAACATTGTTTGCAATTTTATGATGACTTTACTGACACTGATGAAAATAGTATGATAGCTTTGCTCATATTGATAGAATTTTTTATAATGGCTTTGCTCACAAAGATAGCAATTTTATAATAAATTAGCTCACACTAAATTTTATAGCAATTTAGTTCACACCGATAATTTTAGAAGTTTAGTTCATAGCAGCTTGGCCTATATATATCACATAAACATTCATATTTCAATGCAGAATTTGGAATTGCTGAGAAGCGATTTGCACATCATTAAAATACTTAGTTCATTTGTTCAGACGAATATAAAAAAAGGTTGCATTAAATTCACAGGGTGGTTTTAATCTCCCAGGGCTACAAAGGATTATTTAACCAGACGTTTGTATACATTTGTGCTTGTGGAACCTAAATGATTAGCAAGCCACACTGTTATACCAGACTCTACTGAGAGTTCTCATCCCCAGCAACATTCCTTGAAGTTTGGTTGTAGTGAAATTCGCAGCAACACAAAAGCATGTTTTTATGTGGTAGATAACACACACTTTTACTTCTGCAGATGCTACCATTTTGGCGTAACTGAAAACATATGCATTATAACTTCAAGAATTTGAACGCTCAACACTGCCCAAGACTCAGATTTATGAAACTGAGTTATATTGTGGATTTATCACTCATTTCCATTTTAACACTATAGTATCACTTTTCTATTTGGCTTATATGAAGCTAGATTAGAAGTGAAAAAAACAAGATTTATTCAAGTCTTTGTAAACTCTCTACGCTTTGCAAAAAACATTATTTCTGGGAGTTGGGGGGGAGAGACAAAAACAGCTGTTATAAATACCCCCAATGCTGTGTGGATACAGAAAACAACCAATACATTTTTATAGTACAGTATATTCAATCCCGTTAAACTCTTAACGTGGACAAATATGATGTGTAAAAATGTTATTTTAATTTGTGCCAGTAGGGGAGCAAAACAAAATTAATATACATTTATAGAACACCTTTCACTTCAGGAGGACATTTCAAAGCACTTCACATAACTGTGAAAATAACGATTGAAGAGATAGGTCTTTGGGAAGCAGATTTGGAAGGAAAAGTAATACAATTTTTGCAAAATCCAGCAACAAAAACAAACCAACAAGAAACTGAATGTTTCACGCGCACAATTTATTGCGACTGAGGATGGAAAATGAATAGAAATTATTTTTCAAATACCGTCCCTGGCACCACAATTTTTTTTCCAAACATGTTCCAAACATAATCCAATATTCAGCTAACACTGGGTTTTTGCATCAATGTCAATCATCTGTAATAGCTTTCAGCGGCTGGATTCTTGGACTGTGCTGGAATCATCCGCTGATACAACAAGCCAGGATTTGAAAACAAGAATGTGTCTCAAAAGGTTTGATGTGAATTAAAAAAAAACAAGTGTGGAAAAGCCAAAAAACATACTGTAGTTATTTAACACTCCTGTTTAGCCCTTGCCACATAAGCATTTCTATCCACTTAATTCAAAAATATTAATGTTCCCAAATACACTTCAATTAATGTATTTTCCACAGGTGATTATCAATTACCTCCCGGTACATAAGCTACACAGTTAAGGCCCCCATCTCAATTCTCACCAAAGTTTCAATTACTATCAATCTGAAATTGCAAACCCATTTCTGGTTTATTACAAATTAACATTTAGCACAAATTATATTGCCCTTTACTGCACTCCGTATATCTTCTCTTTAGAAACATAACCTTCTCACAGTGTAGACAATTACACACCAATTCATAATTATTATTGCTTTGGGATTTACAGATAATTTTATTGCTGTCACACCACAGAATTCTAATTTGATTTGATCCTGAGGTTTTCATGTTGGGAGGACATCTCAAAGGGCTTTACAGGATTTACTTTAAAAAAACAGTGACTGTATTTTGTAGACAAATACAGCAATGTCCCACAAACAGACATTAAGTGAAAAGATCACCACTAATGAAAAGATCAAACTTTTAATGCACTTTGTAATGCACTCTAATACACTCAACAACATGGAGAATTTTTTTCAAAACAGGCACACACAGTAGCAGCAGGCACTTTAGCGAAGGTCAGCTGTTATTTAACCCTTCAAATTATTTCCAAAGTAACCATCCAAACTCCCAAGGCTTTACATCAACCCATTCTGGAGGAAATATGCTCTTAGAGTATGTTCCATATGTTACTTTTTTTCATGTCAAACACCGTCAAACACATATTACCTGTATTAAAAGTCAATGCTTATAGCTTGACAAAATATACCTACAGTTTGAAAATACACAGACATCTACAAGTGGTGGAGTTTTAAAGTCAGCCAAACACCTAATATTAAGAAAACACTGTTCAACTTCAATCCTCTTTGAACACTGGTGATGACATGTTGGGGAGGTAAAGAGAGGGAAGAAGGGAAAAGTAAATTATTAGTATACACATGAAAATCGCAATATAAAACCTACCATTCTATTTTTTTTAATTGTCTATTTACTCGCACTTCTGCTGTTTAAGAGCCAATACTTCCAAACCACAGATTCTCTGTACTTCTTCCCTCCATTAAAAATGTTACCATTCAGGATATGTTTCCTTTCTTTGTTCTTCCTCCCCAAATGTATTACTTCACAATGCTCTGCATTGAATTTTACTTGATATCCAGCTAAGGCATGAAATTGATGGTTGGACTTCATAAAATCTTTTTCTAGCATTCCTGGTATCAAATCCATGTGTTTAAACATAGGGCGGCTTTTCACATGGGGCTCAAGAGTACACAACATATCACAGAACAAGGAAAATCCATTTGGCACATGAAGCTCACTCGTCCCACAGCCCGTGTATATCCACAACCACAGGTTCCACACGACCCGTGTCAAATCCATGGGAAAGTACTGCATAAATATTACCAGATTCAGACATGGGGGTCATTGATAAGTTGGCATTCTATGTTAATAGTTTGATAACAATTCTGCTGTAATAAGACAGTGGACAAGCAAATCTCTAGCATTGTTGTGCATTTCCATTACTCAGCTTCGTTCAGCTATTTGTCCGACCAC